ATGGCTCATTCACCGGGTTCTCGAAGCCCGAGATTTCCGACGCGCTGCACCGGCTGAGCGAGGAGATGCCGCTGCTGCAGCTGCCCGACAGCACCGGCGAGTTGGAGAGCAGCCCGGACGAGTGGTACTCCACCGGGGAGGGCGTGAAGGACTGCCCCGGGCCCTGCAGGCGAAGCGGGCGGAAAGACAGGGGAGCAAGGGGGACACAGAGCGAGTCAAACCCTGCGAGGGGCGGGGTCACACCCTGCGAGGGGCGGGGCCACACCCTGCGAGGGGCGGGGTCACACCCTGCGATGGCTGGAATGCACGCCCCACTGAATGTGGGCAGGGAAGCCCTAACCCAGCACCTCAGATGGGGTGTCTTTGGAGACGGGGCCTTTACAGCGCTATCTCCCTTAAAAGGAGGCCCCGGGGTGAGCCCACATCTAATCTGACCATTGTCCTTAGAAGAGGAGGAAACTTGGAACACCCCCCAAGGCGCAAGCACACAGAGAGAAGACCCCGTGGAGACGCCAGGAAAGGGGCCTGGGAAGACCATGCCTGGCAATGCCGTGATTTCCAGAGCAGCAGGAGGATAAGTTCTGTGGATTAAACCAGATTTCTGGCATTTCATAAAGAACTGCAAGTTCTAGCAACAATAGCTCAGTGTCTCATAACTTCTTGAAGCTGAGCAGCGGCTGCTCCCGGCCAAAGGGGATACATTCTTTCCTTTGCCACAGTCCCCACCTGACCACAAGATACTCCCCGACTCCCGCTCTGGTTCATGTCAGCTGGCAGCCCCCTGCATCCGCACGTGCTCACTCCCTAACTGGTGTCCGAAGGAAAAGGAGTCCTGAGGGGTGGTCTGTGGAGAGCGGGACCCTGGGGCAGGCTGACAGTAGCGCTCCTGGGGCCCTTGGGGGCAGATCAGCAGGTGCAAGTCCCACAATAAAGGAACTGGGAGAGCTTCGTCCAGCCCACTGTCTTCTAATGGGTGTGGTCATGAACCCTTGTTTGGGTTCATCACAGAATGGCCTATAAATAGAATGGTCTACAGTGGTCGGCAAACTGTGGCTCACGAGCCACATGCAGCTCTTTGGCCCCTTGAGTGTGGCTCTTCCACAAAATAACACGTGCGGGCGTGCGCGTACAGTGCGATTGAAACTTTGTCGCCCATGCGCAGAAGTCGGTATTTTGTGGAAGAGCCACACTCAAGGGGCCCAAGAGCCGCATGTGGCTTGCGAGCCGCAGTTTGCTGACCACTGTTCTAGGAGGTAACATTGGGACAAACACACTTTGAAAAATGTCCTTTTGGACCAACTTGACCTTGGTCTCTCTTTTTAAACAAAATAATGCGGGGAGACACAAACCCTTCCCCTTAGCGGGGCCGGAAATGAAGCAGGGCCAACCGAGAGGTCCCAATGCACTGCTGGTTTTGTCCAAAATAAGACAGGAGAGCACCGCCAGTCTCAACAGGGTTACTCCATTTAGGTGCTGAAAACAACCTTTAAGGCACCGCCTGCATTCTAATCACAGGGCGAGGAGCTTAGGGCAGAGCGCCCTCTCCTGGACCCCAGGAGTCACAACACGCCCAGCCACCTCTTAGAGTCCAGTGATGGCGAACCTTGTGAGCTCCGCGTGCCAGCATTTTGAAAAACCCTAACGTAACTCTGGTGCCGTGTATATAGAAATTTGATATTTGCAACCATAGTGAAACAAAGACTTATATTTTTGATATTTATTTTATATATTTAAGTGCCATTTAACAAAGAAAAATCAACCAAAGAAATGAGTTCGCGTGTCACCTCTGACACGCGTGTCATAGGTTCGCCATCACTGCGACCCCACTGTGACCATGTGGCCACAGAGGCGGGCAGTGAGGACGGATGCAGGTCTGCTGCACAGCACCATCCACTCAGCTATTTCAACATTTCCATCCCTTTGTTCTTTTTGTTCTTAAGAGCCAATCTCTAAGACTTAGAGTCTTATTACTACTCTGCAAAATCCAGGGAAAGGTGCAGGTACTGGTCCGTAGCGCCGCGTGAGAGGGAGCGCGAGGCGGGTGGGAAGCTGTGGACACGCCACGGCCACGTCCTTTCCCTCCCGTCACCAAGACCACAGTCCCGGCTGCAGAGCAGGCACAGGCCGTGGGCTTTCTCGGGACCGCTATGGCAGAGACAACAAAACCAGCAGGGAACTGGCTCTGTCGGAAACGTGGGCAACATGAACGACATCACGCTTCTTTGCGATTTCCTCCCTCTGTTTGGTTTCCCGTTTGAGATTCTCGGTTTCTATGAGCAGCTGCTGCCTCGGACGGTTGGTCCTAGTGCCGCGTGGGAGGGAGCGCAAGGCGCGCGGGAAGCTGTGGAAACGCCACGGCCACGTCGCTTCCCTCCCGTCACACTGAGACCACAGTCCCGGCTGCAGAGCAGGCACAGGCCGTGGGCTTTCTCAGGACCGCTATGGCGGAGACAACAAAACCAGCAGGGAACTGGCTCTGTTGGAAACGTGGGCAACGTGAACGAAATCACGCTTCTTTGCTATTTCCTCCCTCTTTTTGGTTTCCCGTTTCAGATTCTCGGTTTCTATGAGCAGCTGCTGCCTCGGACGGCTCAGGACCTGTTTTCCTTTGTTACCTAGAAACCTCTCCCCCTCGAAAGGGACAAGGAGCGTGTAGGTCCCCGTCACTCAGGGATGAAATCATTCTTTCCATTGCAGTTGCTTCCGGGCAGCAGCTCTGGGCACCACGCCCACACGGACTGGCAGGCCTTGCGCTCAGCCTGACACCCTACCCTTGGACAGCTACCCTTGACCTCCACGAGGGACTGTGTCTGCTCAGAGATGTTCAATAGCCCGTGTCTACAGACCCGGACAAACGTCTGATCTTTAAAGCTTTAAAAAGTCATTGCACTGCCTGGCTTTTCATTAATGTATTCGAAAGTCTTGGTAGAAAACAGGAAAAGAGCCTGGCCAGTGAGGCTCAATGGTTGAGCATCAGCCTACGAACCAGGAGGTCAGGGTTCAATTCCTGGTCAGGGCACAGGCCCGTGTTGTGGGCTCGATCCTCAGTGTGGCGTGCAGGAGGCGGCCAATCGATGATTCTCATCATTGATGTTTCTATCTCTCTCTCTTCCTCTCTGAGATCAATACAAACATTTTTTTTCTTTTTAAAGAAAATAGGAAAAGAGAAACTGGGTTTGGCTTTGTCAGAGTGGGCGAGGCTGATGAGAAGGCAAAAGGCCCAGAACACTATTTCGGACACCTTGATCCTGATGTCGATTCAAGGTGTTGTGCGTTTTAATGCCTCTTAAACCAGGGCAGGCTGAACATGTCCTAGGACAGTGGTCAGCAAACTCATTAGTCAACAGAGCCAAATATCAACAGTACTTCTTCAAAATGGACTCGCCCAGCCCAAAAACTGACTTCTGCGCATGGGCCACGAAGTTTCAATCGCACTGTACGTGTGCGCCCGCACGTGGTATTTTGTGGAAGAGCCACTCAAGGAGCCAAAAAGCTGCATGTGGCTCGCGAGCCGCAGTTTGCCGACCATGGTCCTAGGACCTAGGAGGTGACACTGGGACCATATTTCTTTCCTAATTCGGCGTCTCTCTCCAGGCTGCACATCCTCACTGGCACCATTTGCGAGCGAGCAAGGCTAATAACCTGAACACGGGCTGCGTCAGCGGAGGCGGCACCCCCAGGGGAAAGCCCAGGGCTGCTCCCGCCCCGCCTTCCTCGTGCTGCCCCCCACTTCTCTGCCTGCTCCGTGCAAATGAAAGCCCTGCTAACGGACCAGGGGGCTCCTCAGGGGGGAGGGAACACGGGGCCCATCCCAGGCTCAGTTAAACGAGAGCCGTACCTTCAACGGAGACCGCCCGGCAGGTGAGGGGGAGACCGGCGCCGTGTGTCTCGCAGGCGAAGCTGTAAAGAGAGAGAGTTTCAATTCAGAAACACCGGGCGGTTGACCCCAGGGCGTGCCCTCTGCGTGTGCAAACCCACAGGTGGCCCTGGGCAGGAGGACCTGGGCAGGGGTGTGGGGGCGTAAGTCACCCAAGATTGGCAGTGTCCGGAATGGGAGAGGAGTGAAAAGCCACAGCCGTGCGGGATGCGTGAGCCTCAGTGGCAGGGCCCCAGAGGGGCCCATCGTCCCATTTCCCCAAAGCCCAGATGCTTGTGGGTGTGGAGGGCCAGGAGTGGTCTCCACAGACGCTGCTGGCCGGGGCCTGAGCGGCAAAAGGAAGCCCAGGGCCCTGGGCAGCACAGACTGACTAGGTCCAGGGGCACACGGACTCCAGCCTCCGACTGCACGCCATCCCCCACTGCAAACCGTAGAAAACCTTGGCCACAACCACTAGCCCCCTAATGCCTGTACTCCGGTCCCCCTTAGTCCCCGGGATGGAGGATGGGGGTGGGGGAGGGGGGTGGTGCCCTAGATTTCATCATCTGGGCAGACAGGCGTGTTCCTCCTGCCCACCAGCCCAGCCCCACGTCGGGACCCGGCACGTGGATGGATGAACTGCTCTGTGCAGAGTGCAGACGCCTCTCCTAATTCCACCAAGTCGGGTTCATGAGTTCGGGGTTTATTGCTCTGTGGAGAGCTGCCCGTGCCTGCTCCCCCCCGCCCCCCCCTCCACCGGCTGTCACGGGGGGTTGATAACTCACAGGAAACCACAGAAAGGCTGAAGCGGAGACAGACAGTCCAGACACCCCCCTGCCCCCACAGAGAGCACAGATGAGGACAGAGGACAGACCAGGAGGATCTGTGCGGAAGGGAGGCAGCCCGCCACGCTACCCTGCAGAGGTCAGTAACCCATGTGTGCCGGGGCGCTCCTCCTGGCTCGTGTGCAGTGACCCCTCCTGCGCACCTGCCCGCTCAGGCTCACAGAGCCACTGCTTAGGAAGGCATTCTCGCACGGAGCCTACGCCAGCCCTGCCAGGACCCTTGCCTACAGGTTTGAATGGGCCTAGGAACCGAACCGCCCCCAACTGACAGCTGCTGAAATGCTTTTCAAGTTCCCACCTGCAGCCACACAACCAGGTTTAACGGCAGAACACAAGTCACCTGGGGGCCGAGTCCTCACTGGGGGGGGGCGGGGGGGGGGTCCCCGCAGTGACCCACTTCACAGCTGAGCCCAGTGGCTCCTGCTCTGCTTAAAGCTCTCACGGCCTTTCAAACCCTGCTGGTGGCGTTTAGCTATGGCAACGACAGAAAACCTGGCAGCAGAGTTTTATTTGAAAAAGAAAGGCTGCCCGGCTGGCGTGGCTCAGTGGGTGAGCGTCGACCTATGAACCAGGAGGTCACGGTTTGATTCCCAGGCAGGGCACGTGCCCAGGTTGTGGCTCAATCCCAAGTAGGGGGCGTGCAGGAGGCAGCTGATCAATGATTCTCAACATTGATGTTTCTATCTCTCTCTCCCTCTCCCTTCCTCTCTAAAATCAATTTTAAAAATGTGTATATAAATAAGTACATAAAAAGAGTCACTTTCCTCTTCTTAGTAAACAAAAAAAAAAGATGCTAAAATGCAGCAAATGAAACGGACCCTCCAGGAAAGCCCACAGAGGCAATGGTATCGTATTTCCTCTTACCAGGAGGCTGGGTGTATTCATAATTTCAAAACTACTCTTGACCTGCGTTAAGTGTTGGGAAGACTGTGCCCAGCACCAGGGTAGGGGAGCTGGCAGAGCGGGTCAGCCCTCTCAGCGACACCCCCCGTGGAGGTCACTGAGCAAAGGGCTTGTTCAGGAGGACAGGGGCCCTGTTCCTGCTGTTGACTCACAGGCAGCTTCCCTCACCATTATTGTCAGGGTTCTTGAACTCTAACTCAGGCCTTCGAGAAGTGATTGAATATGGTCCTCTCCGGGCAGCAGACAGCGTGGCACGGGGGTAGTTGTCCCCAGCCGCCCATCAGAGTTAGGGTCCGTCAGTGCCTGTTTCGGGGCCGCCTGCGGCGTTGGCATCAGCTCCACACGAGAGGGAAGGAAGCAGCGTGCCAGCAGAGGCTGCTGCGGAGGAGGAGGCTAGGAGGGCAGTGCCAGCCCACAGCGTGCAGAGAACGCGCTCCCGTCAGAGCTCACGAGGAACGCAGTGTAGCAGGAGTTCAGCAGAGAGAGGGACAGTGCCCACGCATTAGGCAGCTACGGAGGCTCCCCGCTCCAGGACCACCCCCTGCCTTTCTCTGCGCAATCCACAGCGGGAGCAGTCAGTGCAGTGGTTATTGCAGAGAAGCGACGACGCACACGCGTCATATACCCACCCGTCAGTGCGGGTCGCGGAGGGACAGGGGGCGAGAGGAGCCCCCCTCTCTCCGCCATGCTCCTGGCCTCCTTCCCACTGTCCAGGCTCCAGCTGCTAGGGGTGGGGTTCACAGCTGGAAGGGAACAACATGGCTAAAGCTCTCTGCCCTCGGACCCGAGACCTTAAAGAATCAGTTACCCAGAATGAAAGAAACCAACTGGATTTAAACACACCACACGCACGCGCACACACACACACACACACACACACACACGCACACACACACACAGGAAAGCTGCTAAGGCCTGGCCCTTTCTCTGTCTGCCTCCCTCACCATGAGAGCTGACGTTTAACTAGGTGAGACCGGGTCTGAGTACTGCACTCACAGTCACACAGAACCACAGCCTCACACGTAGCGCAGAGCCTTGATGAGAACTACAAACCTGTTCAGATGCTAGAGGGCAGACGAAGAATGCGACCACTAGACGACTTCAAAACTGTCTTTCGTAAGGACTTGTGGACACGTGGCACTCAAAAGGGGGAAGGCGGTGACAATGTTGGCAGAATCACGGGGAAGGGACAGCCTACCACACCGCCTGCGGAGGGGACCCACTCTGGGAAAAGGGCCCCAGCTCCCGAAATCAATGCGCTCTACTGAGGCACATCCTACAACAGAACTTCGACTGGGTTGGCGTCTTCCTCTTTTCTCGTTTGCCTGCTGCATGCTTCAGCGAGATGCAGAAATATGGAGCCACCCTGACAGGAGGTGGCTGGAGGCAAGGGTTATAAATAGCGCTGTGCTGCGATTTCCAGGCAGGCCTAGGAGGGTCCGCAGCTTGCTCCCTGCGCAGGCACTGCCCCCTGGTGGTCGTGGCTAGGATGCCAACATTTTGCCACCAAAGGTCCTTGTGCATTTAATGGGATGCAATGACCGCTCTTGAAATACCTTTCCTTGGTTCCTTTTCAGTTTGCTTTGTGGTTTTCTTTGGTGGCAGGATGAGGAAAAGGCCATATTCCTACATTCTTCAGACAGAGATCAATATCTGACTTGTAAGATGAAAGCCACACTTTTATTCTAAAATACTAGTAACTGGGGCTGCGGTCTCACTAATGTGACCTCCCGAGGACAGTTTGGATGTCACTGTACCAGATACTCCACGACAACACAGCTTGTTCTTAATGAGGGTGATTCCAGTCTTTTCAGGGACGTTTCATTAGTGACTCCCGATTGGGGCTGGTGGGACCGCTGGGCTCTGCGAGGCTGGCCCTGAGAGAAGCCAGTGGGGGCCTGGCTGCCCCAGCCCCGCACCCCGGAAGTCCCCACTATACTGCACAGACTGATACTAATGGGCCGCTCGCTGCAATGCACGTGTCTGCCTCTCCTTTTGTGTGACCCTGAGGCCGAGGGCGCTCCATTACGCACTGGACTGCAACTCCTCAACAGTACCTGAGTCACCACACACGACATGCGCTGGCAGAGGAGCTGTGTGGGGG